GCGGGCTCAGGCAATCCACTCATCTCAGCCTCCCAAGGCGCGGGATTACAGGCTGAGCCATCGAGCCCGGCTTGTGGACTTTCTTTACTGTGTTTCCTCACTAAGGTCTAAACTCCTTGCTGACAGAGATGTTGCTCATCTATAAGTTCTAAGAGCCAAGCCCTGTGCCAGCCCCATACATAGAAAGTGTTTCATGCACATTTACCAAATAAGTGAATGAATATAGTTCCAGCAGATCACAGTACCCAGACACCCAGAATATCCATGACCCCTAAGTCAATGTTTTAAACTGCTGTTATATAAGTCAGGTGGCATGAGTTGGTGTGAGACTCCCTAGCTGCAAACACCTAATTTCCTTTCAGTGTGCTGAAGTCTAATGTTAATTTAAAGCAACTGCCAGCCGGGCTCGGCGGCTCAGCCTGTAATCCTGCGCCTTGGGAGGCTGAAGTGAGTGGACAGCCTGAGCCCGCGGGTTCGAGACCCGCCTGGGCAACTTGGTGAGACCTCATCTCTACAGTAAATCAAAAAATTAGCTGGGCGTGGTAGCGAGTGCCTGTAGTTCCAGCTACTTGGAAGGCTGAGACGGAAGGATCGCCAGAGCCCAGCAGGTCGAGGCTGTGGTGGCTGGGAGTGGCCACTGCACTCCAGTCTGGGCAACAGAATGAGACTCCAACTCAAACACAAAGAAAGAAAGAAAGAAAGAAACTGCCAGGTGCAGTGGCTCATGCCTGTAATCCCAGCACTTTGGGAGGCTGAAGGTGGAGGACTGCTTGAGGCCAGGAGTTCGAGGTCAGCCTGGGAAACATAGCAAGACCTCATCTCTACAAAAAAAAAATTAAAAAATTAGCCGGGCATGGTGTTGCATGTCTGTAGTCCCAGTTACATAGGAGAGTGAGGTGGAAGGATTGCCTGAGCTCAGGAGATCGAGGTTGCCGTGAGCTATGATCATGCCACTGCACTCCAGTCTGGGTGACAGAGTAAGAACTTGGCTCAAAAAAAAAGGCAGGTATGGTGGCTCACACTTGTAATCTTAGCACTTTTGGAGGCTGAGGTGGAAGACTGCATGAGCCCAGGAATTTGAGATTGCTCTGGGCAACATGGTGAGACCAGATCTCTACAAAAAACTAAAAAATTAGCCGGGCTCGGTGGCTCAGCCTGTAATCCCGTGCCTTTGGGAGGCTGAGGTTAGTGGACTGCCGGAGCCCGCGGGTTTGAGACCCGCCTGGGCAACTTGGCGAGCCCTCATCTCTACAATAAATCAAAAAATTAGCCAGGCGTGGTAGCACACACCTGTAGTTCCAGCTGTTTGGAAGGCTGAAACAGAATGATTACCTGAGCTTAGCAGGTTGAGGCTGCAGTGCCAAAGTGATACATTAATTTATCCTGTGACCCAGCAGCCCTTACTGGTAATTTAAACTACAATTATATCTGCACCCATATAAAATGATGTGCATATACAGTTATTGACTTCAGCACTGCTTATAATTGCAAACAATTGGAAACAATCATGCATTCATCAGTAGAAGATTGAATACATAAATGTTAGCATACCCAAAAATCAGAACACTGAAAAACTACCTTGTTATAGGTACCAAGATGTATTAAGTAAAAGAAAAAAAGCAAAATGTAGAACAATGTATATAGTATGCTGCATTTAAATAAATTCATATTTATTTATATTTGCACAAATAACTTGTAATGGACTCTCAAAAAACTAATACAAATGGGAGAACAAGGGAGTTAGGCATGGACGAGAGGGAGACTTTTGCTGCATGCCCTTTTTATATTGTTTTGATTTGGGTTTTTGTTTGTTTGTTTTGAGTTGGAGTCTCACTCTGTCGCCCAGGCTGGAGTGCAGTGGTACGCTCATGGCCACCGCAGCCTCAACCTTCTGGGCTCGGGTGATCCTTCAGCCTCAGCCTTCCAAGTAGATGGAGCAACAGGCACGTGCCACCATGCTCGGCTAATTTTTTGATTTATTGTAGAGACGAGGTCTCGCCAAGTTGCCCAGGCTGGTCCCGAGCCTATGGGCTCCGGTAATCTTCTCACCTCAGCCTCCCAAAGTGCTGGGATTATAGGCGTGAACCACTGCGCCTGGCCTATTTTGATTTTTGAATAAACAATTTTAAATTTAGCTGGGCACAGTGGCTCATGCCTGTAATCTCAGCAACTTGGGAGGCTGAGGCAGGAAGATCGCTTGAGGTCAGGAGTTCAATACCAGTCTGTGCAATATGGCAGGACCCCATCTCTACAAAATGTTTTCAAAAATTTACCCAGGCATAGTGGCATGCATGTGTAGTCTCTAATTGTTTTCTGTAAGAAACCTTCCCCAAGGAATCATGCTTCTCTGCTAAGAAAAAACTCTTTAGGTACAGCAACATCATCTAAATATAAGAATATGTAATATAAAAAAGCTATAAGAGATATGTATCTAAAGCATATAAAGCTAGCAGTAGCCAGAGCAGGAGGCAGAGCCTGGGGAGATCAGGCCTGATACCTAATGTCTGTCTAACGGGCAAGTTTTTCAATTACAACTCTAGAACAACAACAGAACCTATAGAGTCAGGATGGAAAAGTTCCTTTTACAATGTTAGTATTTAATATTAACACATTCCCCAGAGATTATATCTTAATAGGATGTATCAAGAACTATTTGCAAAGTTGCATGCTTTGTTAATTAAGATATTTACTAGCTGGGTTCGGTGGCTCAGCCTGTAATCCTGCGCTTTGGGAGGCTGAGGTGAGTGGATTGCAGGAGCCCGCGGGTTTGAGACCCGCCTGGGCAACTTGGCGAGCCCTCATCTCTACAATAAATCAAAAAATTAGCCGGACGTGGTAGCGCACACCTGTAGTTTCAGCTATTGGGAAGGCTGAGGCAGAAGGATCATGGGAGCCCAGTGGGTCGAGGCTGCGGTGGCTGGGAGTGTGCCACTGCACTCCAGTCTGGGTGACAGAGTGACACTCCAACTCAAAAAAAAAAAAATTTACTAGGCAGGGCCCGGTGGCTCCAACCTGTAATCCCAGCAGAGTCTCGCCATGTTGCCCAGGCTGGGCATTACAGGCATGAGCTGCTGTGCCCAGCCAACTTTCTATCTATTAAGGGCCTGTGATACATCATGCCTCCAGTCATTTCCAAAAACACATCCAGTCACAGAAACGCCTCAGTCCACTCCTACCTGATTGACAACACCGCAGTGATAACACAGCTGAGCTCTGGGATCCTGTCCACAGAGAACAAAGCCATGAAGTACTCTACCATTTCCCCCTACTTCTTTATTTAATCCTCTTCCACTAAATAAGATAAACTCACCCTGTGTTTGTTTATCAGAAGACTCTTTCCACATGAAGTTTTCTTGTAATTTTTTTTTAATTTCTTCTAGGTCATGGAGAACATCTCTCATTTTTCCTCCTGGTGTCTTGGAAGTCACTAGCTTTGGAGAAGCCAAGGAAAGATTCACCTCAGAAGAAAAAGCCTATAGATGAATCATTAAAAAAAACAAAACAAACAAAAAAAAAACAAATGAAAGTCCTCTCTGCAACCCATCAAATATTATACTCAAATTCTGCCATCCATCTATAATTTTCCACTCAACTCCTAGCAAGTTTTTACAATAAAATTAAGCCCTCAAAACACGTGCCTTGAAAAAACCTGTAATAACCATAATACATAAAAAATATCAAAGAGTAGCAGGGTTGTGGAGGATTTTAATTTGTTTTCTTTTCTTTTTTTTTTTTTTAATTTTTTATCTTTTTGAGTCAGAGTCTCACTCTGTCACCCAGACTAGAGTGCAATGGCATGCTCATGTCCACTGCAGCCTCGACCTGCTGGGCTCAGGGGATCCTTCCATCTCAGCCTTCAAAATAGCTGGAACTATAGGCGTGCACCACCATGCCCAGTAATTTTTTTATTTATTATAGAGACAATGTCTCACCATGTTGCCCAGGATGGTCTTGAACCCCTGGGTTAAGGCAATCCTCTCACCTCTTCCTCCCTAAGTGCTGGGATTACAGGTATGAGCCATCACGCCCTTTAATTTGTTGTCTTTAAACCATGTATTTTCTAATATTTTGTACAATAAACATGAATTTCTTAGGTAATATTAAAAAAAGTTGATGTTTTTAGGCCCATCTTATAGGGACTTTACAAAATAAACAATATAGTCACCGAGATAAGTCCAAGGGGCAGAATATTCTTCTCCCAACTCTATCGTCATATCATATCACTTCTCAAGAGCCACCCCTCATGTTGCCTTCATGCAGCCCTGCTTTCTAAGACCTGTAACAGAGGCTCCCTGATTTTTTTTTGACTGTAGGTCCTGTTGTTCTCCAGTACAGCCCCTCATCTGTGCACCAACTTCAACCCTGACTTTTCTTCCCAGTTTACCTAATCCATTCCCCATTCTTCTAATTTTTTTGTGAGTCAGGGTCTCGCTCTGACAATGAAGCTGGAGAGCAATGGCATGATCATGGCTCACCACAGCCTCAACCTCCTGGGCTCAGGGAATCCTACCTCCTCAGCCTCCTGAGTAGCTAGGACTACAAGCATGCACCACTCTACCTCGTTAAGTGTGTGTGTGTGTGTGTGTGTGTGTGTGTGTGTGTGTATGAGAGTGTGTGTGTGTGTAGAGATGAGGTCTCACTATGTAGCCTAGGCCAGTCTCAAACCCCTGGGCTCAAGCAATCCTGCCTTGACTTCACAAAGCGCTGGGATTATAGACATAGGCCACTACTCCTGGTCTACAGTTCCCATTCTTTTCACCAATCATAATACAGTCAGAGTAGGCACTACATTTATTGTTTTCTACATGCTAGGTATGGCTCACCTCTCAAAGGAAAAACAACCTGACAAGGTAGGTTAAAAAACCAGAAGAAGCTGGGCTTGGTGGCTCAGCCTGTAATCCCGCGCCTTTGGGAGGCTGAGGTCAGAGGATTGCCTGAGCCCATGGGTTTGAGACCCGCCTGGGCAACTTGGCAAGACATCATCTCTACAGCAAATAAAAAAATTAGCCGGGCGTGGTAGTGCATGCCTGTAGTTCCAGCTACTCGGAAGGCTGAGGCGGAAGGATTGCTGGAGCCCAGTAGGTGGAGGCTGCAGTGGCTGGGAGCGACCACTGCACTCCAGTCTGGGTGAAGGAGTGAGACTCCAACTCAAAAAAAAAAGCAGTGAACAAAAGAACAAAAGCACCCAAGTCTCCATCCTTGTGAAGCTGAGCGTCCAGTGCTGGGGAAGGGAGGGACAGACATTAATAAAGCATGACCCAAATCACTCCAAATTGTAACTGTGATGACTATGACAAATGACAGGTACGTGGTCTCAGAAGAGCCTCTCATAGGGGGAGTTCGTTTGTTCAAGGAAGTCGGGGAAGGCATCTCTCTGAGGAAGTAATGGTCTAGCGGGGATCTGAAGGATGACCCATGTGATGGGGTGAAAGAAGATCATCCCACAAAGGGTGCCCTGTACCCAGAAGAAGCAAGACAAACTAGAGGGACTGATGTGGCCAATGTGGCTGGAACTCACGGAGCCAGGAGGAGTGAGGGGAGATGAGACAGGAGAGGCAGACAGTGGTGGGATTCCCGGGGCCTTGTGGGTCCTATGAGGATCCAGACCTTAGGCAAACTGACATCACTTGAGTGGGTGGTTGTTATTGTTTTGTTTTGCTTTTTGTTTTTGTAGAGACAAGATCTTGATATACTGTCCAGGCTGGTCTCAAATTCCTGGACCCTCCCTCCTTGGCCTCCCAAAGTGCTACAATTATTGGTGTGAGCCACTACGCCTGGTCCGTTTGAGTGTTTCGAGCAGATAAGTTACATGACCAGTTATGTGTTTGAGAAAGTCACTCTGATGACCATGAGGAGAGCAAACGATAAGGGGTAGAGTGGAGCATCTGGAAGGCTATTAGGGCAATCCAGGCAAGAAATTATCAGAGGCTTGGATTAGAGAAGTCTCAAAGGAGCTCAAGAGTAGTAAATAGATAGGAGAGCTATTCAGACAGGTCTTGGAGCTACAACATGCTGCATATTAGGACAAGGGAGGCAGAGGAGAGACATGACTCCTAGGTTTCTGGCTTGGGCACTCAGAAAGGTAATGGGGCCAGTATTGAGCTGGGGAGTCCAACAGGAGTAGTAGTTTGGGACATGTTAAATGTAACATGCCTTTGAGATATCCAAGAGGAAAAAAATGAGTAGGAAGATATCAGTCTAGAGAAGGTTCCAGGCTGGAGCTATATTTGTGCACAGAGGTGGTCATTAAAGCCCTGGTTGTGGAGAAGGTCACTTAGAGGGAAGATAAAGGGACCTACAACTCAGCCTTGAGGAATTTCAGCATTTAACTGCTGAGCAGTAGAGAGAAACCCTACAACTGGACTGAGAAGGATCAGCCAGAGAGAGGCGGGGAAAGCCAGAAGAGTCCTGTCCCAGAAGCTAGAAATAAAGGTGTAGGACAGGCACCATGCCTCACGTCTGTAATCCCAGCACTTTGGGAGGCCAAGGTGGAAGGATCACCTGAAGCCAGGAGTTCAAGACCAGCCTGGGCAACATAGGGAGACCTCATCTCTACCAAATATATATATTTTTAAATGAAGCTGCCGGGCTCGGTGGCTCACCCTATAATCCCAGCACTTTGGAAAGCCAAGACGAGTGGATTGCCTGAGCCCGTGCGTTTGAGACCAGCCCAGGCAACTTGGCAAGACCTCATCTCTACAGTAAGTCAAAAATTAGCCAGGCATGGTAGCATGCACCTGTGGTTCTGGCTACTTGGAAGGCTGAGGTGGAAGGATCGCTAGAGCCCAGCAAGTAGCTGCGAGTGTGCCATTGCACTCCAGCCTGGGCTACACAGTGAGACTCCGACTCAAAAAAAAAAAATGAAGCTGTGGTCAACTGTGTCAAAGACTGCTAAAAGGTCAACGAAGATAAGGACTGGAATGCCTACAGGATTTATATAGAGGTCACTAGTGATAGAGAGAGCTGGTTGGGTGAAGTGATGCTAGTCCACTTGAAACTTCCTGACTTTATTGCAAGCATTTTCTTTTTTCTTTTTTTTTTTGAGTTGGAGTCTCACTCTGTCGCCCAGACTGGAGTGCAGTGGCCGCTCCCGGCCATCGCAGCCTCGACCTGCTGGGCTCCGGCGATCCTTCCACCTCAGCCTTCCAAGTAGCTGGAACTACAGGTGCGCACTCCCACGCCCGGCTAATTTTTGATTTATTGTGGAGATGAGGTCTCGCCAAGTTGCCCAGGCGGGTATCGAACCCACGGGCTCAGGCAACCACTCACCTCAGCCTCCCAAAGGTGCGGGATTACAGGCTGAACCACCGAGCCCCGCTACTGCAAGCGTTTTCAATGCCTAGTCACCCATGTTTGGTAGCAGAGAGAATGGTAAAAGACAAAGACTTACTGCATTGTTCAGCTTCAAACACATCCATGTTGCTCCGGTTGAAAGCTGTCCCTAGCCCCATCTCCCCCACCCCCCACATCCTTTCCTTCCCAGCACAGCCTACCGTGCCCAGGATGCTCAGTTCATCATCTGGTCCAGGTTCTGAGATGGGTCTCTGATCCTGAAGGCTCCTGACAATGTCTACAAGCCATTTCACCAGTTCTGTCAGCTCTCGACCAACTTCTGTGATACTCTTCTGTACTTCCACCTTTAAAAGAGCAAAGTTTTGCCGGGCTCGGTGGCTCAGTCTGTAATCCCGCGCCTTTGGGAGGCTGAGGTGAGTG